TACGCCATTCTCCTGCCTCAGCCTCCCGAGTAGCTGGGACTACAGGCGCCCGCCACCTCGCCCGGCTATTTTTTTTTTTTGTATTTTTTAGTAGAGACGGGGTTTCACCATGTTAGCCAGGATGGTCTCGATCTCCTGACCTCGTGATCCACCTGTCTCGGCCTCCCAAAATGCAGGGATTGCAGGCTTGAACCACCACACCCAGCCACTGTGGGTGATTTCTATACTCTGTCTCCCCTAATTTGTAAGCAGAGACTGGGTTAGAGTATTCCATATCTGCAGCCCCAGGGCCCAGCACAGAGAGAACATGAGGTGGTATTCATAGATCCAGAGCCAGGAAATGTGCTCATTTCCTCTCAATTGTGCCAGCATCGCTTGTTATAGTTTTTTTAGGTTTTATCATTTTATGTCCATGACACCATGCCTTACTGCAACTTATTTTACTTTATTTTATTTTATTTTATTTTAGAGACAGAGTCTTATTCTGTCGCCCAGGCTGAAGTGCAGTGGTGTGATCTTGGCTCACTGCAACCTCCCGGGTTCAAGCGATTCTCATGCCTCAGCCTCCTGAGTAGCTGGGAGTACAGGTGTACACCACCACACCTGGCTAATTTTTGTATTTTTAGTAGAGACGGGGTTTCACCATGTTGGCCAGGCTGGTATCGAACTCCTGACCTCAAGTGATCTACCTGCCTCGCCTCCCAAAGTGATGGGATTACAGGTATGAGCCACCACGCCTGGCCCACCACTACTTTATTATGAGTTTCTTTGGTGACAACTGAGGTGGAATGTGTTTTCATTTGTATTTCTCCTTTGGTGAATCGGCTATGGGGTCCTTGGCCCTTTGCAATCAGCTGACGGCATTTTCCTCCCAAAACTGCTTCCGGGAGCACAGGTTTACTCATTTGGAGAGATGCCATGGGACTTGGCACTGATGCAGACATGCTACCGTGAGGCCGAACGGAGCCATGGGCGCTTGGGGCAGCTGGCAGCACCGTTTGGCTTTCTGGGGATGCAGAGCCTCGTGTTTGGGGCCCAAGATCTTGCACAGCAGGTGAGGGTGAACAGGAGGCTGGGAGGAGGCCAGGCTGTGAAGACAGCCTCCACTGAACCCCCGCTAAATGTGTCCTAGAGAGACCACAGTGATTGAGACAACTCGGTGGGGCTGCCAGTCTCATGGGGACATGAGCCCGTGACCAGGCAGCAGCCACATGTGGTGGACAGAGCTGGGGCGGGATGTACAGAGAGAGCCAAGGATGTTCCTGATCCATGTCTGGGGTTGACAGGACTTTCAGGAGGAGGGGACTTCCAACATGGGACAGCAGTGGGAGGAATGGGGCTGCCACCAGTCCCAAGTGAATAGTGTTGAGAGCGCTTGTCTGCATTTGGGGAACGTGGAGCAATTTTTCAGAAATGGGGAAGACAGGCCGATGAGATGGATGGGCAAGATGGCACAGTGCCTTGAGTGTGGGGCTAAGGGGTGAGCTCTTTCCTGACGGCAATGGGGAGCCATTGCCAGAGCAGGTATATGAGCAGGGGGAGGGCATGGCTGGATTTAAGGTTTAGGAAGCTCTGCTTGCCATAGGGAGCACAGGCTGTTGGGGGCAGGAATAGAGGAGGCGGGGGGAGGCCTGCACCAGGATAGGGGATGTCAGTGGGGAGAAGCAAGAAGTATTTTGAAGTCTGAGGTGGGACCTGCTATTGGACATGGTGACAGAAGAAGACAGAGAGTGAGATGATCTAGTACCACCTGGCACAGTTGTTCAGTTTGTGCACTGCACAAAAGTGCTCAACAGAGGAGGCTGAACTCTGGCTGGCTCTCTGGTCTCCATTCTAGGCACCCTGGCACCATCCCCCAGAGGGAGGGGGCTTTTTGCCAGTTTGCACATAGTCCCCCACAGACTAGACAATCCCCAGGTCCTGAGAGGAGGGAAAGGTGTTTCCTGGGACAAGGAGGAGGAGGTTGGGCAGAGGTGGCTGATTGGGGCAGGCTGGATGCTGAGAAGGGGTCAGCTGGGCTGGAGTGGGGCCCAGGAGGCTGGAGCACAGATTCTGGGGTCATCACGGCATCTCCTCCTACAGCTCATAGCTGACGCTGTGGCCACCTTCCTGCAGCTGGCTGACCAGTGTCTGACCATGGCCCTCAACTGTGACCAGGCTGCCCAGAGGCTGGAGAGAGTCAGGGGGCGCGTGCTGAAGGTGTGATCTGTGGGTACGGGGTGGCACGGGGTGGCAGTGGGCCTGGGTGCTCAGATGGTTGAACACTGAACAGAGGCGCCGCTGGGTATGTTGTGCAGAAATTCGAATCGGACAGCGGGCTGGCGCAGAGGAGGTTCATCCGAGGCTGGGGTCTCTGCATCTTTTTACCTTTTGTGCTGAGCCAACTCGAGCCAAGCTGCAAAAAGGTGAGTTAATGGGAAGTGTGCAGGCAGGTCTGACAGCATCACCATTCATCCACGTAAAGTGGGCAAGAATTCTCTTTGAGGCCGGGCACGGTGGCTCACGCCTGTAATCCCAGCACTTTGGGAGGCCGAGGGCGGATCACAAGGTCAGGAGTTCGAGACTAGCCTGGCCAACATAGTGAAACCCCGTCTCTACTAAAAGTACGAAAAATTAGCCGGGTGTGATGGCGGGCGCCTGTAATTCCAGCTACTCAGTAGGCTGAGGCAGGAAAATTACTTGAACCCGGGACAGGGAGGTTGCAATGCGCCAAGATCGTGCCATTGCACTCCAACCTGGGTGACAGAGTGAAACTCTGTGTCAAAAAAAAAAAAAAGAAAAAAGAAAAAAGAAAAAAAGAATGCTCTTTGATCATTAGAGACCATTTGACCAGGTGCCATGGCTCACGCCTTAATCCCAGCACTCTGGAAGGCCAAAGTGGGGGGATTGCTTGAGGCCAGGAGAGCAGTCTGGACAACACAGTGAAACTCCATCTCTATAAAAATACAGAAGTTAGCCAGGCATGGTGGCGTGTGCCTGTGGTCCCAATTACTCCGGAGGCCAAGAGGTGGGAGGATCAATTGAGCCTAGGAAGTTGAGGCTGCAGTGAGCTAGGATCGCACCACTGTACTCCAGCCTGGGCAACAGAGCAAGGGCCTGTCTCAAAAAACGGGACTTCCACACCTTGAGCCCTGGAGCTGGGTCAGGTGGCTTTTCTGGGCTGCCACGATGCCCTCTGCTTCATCTATGACGGGGCTCATTACCCTGTGTCTGCCACGGAAGAGCTGGGATGGTTCCCATACATCACATATCACCAGGTGACATGGGCATCAGTGGAGGGAGGAGGCAGATGGAGAGTGTGGATAAGGGTTGGGTAGGGAGTTACCAGAGGGTTAGGAAGGATCTCCCTGTGAAATGAAGGCACAGGCCATGTCCCGGGAAGGGCATTCCAGGCAGAGGGCATAGCATGTGCAAAGGCCCTGAGGCCTGACCGTGCCTGGTGTATTGGAGGAACAGTGACAAGGTGGGTGTGGCTGAAGCTCAGTGAGTGGGAGAGTGGGAAGGAGGTCAGGGGGAGTCCTAGGTACCTGGGCACACAGGGCTCATGGGCACCAGGTGGGTGTCTGACATGGGTACAAACAGAATCCTCTAGAGGAAGTGGCTGGGAGTTGGGGAAGTCCCAGTTGAGACACTCGTACTATTCCCTGTGAGGTGTGATTTGCTGCGCCTAATTAATCCCATGAATCCTTTCCACAATGCTAGAGAATATGGGCCACTGAGTCCATTTCAACGATAAGGAAACTGAGGCCAGGCGTGGTGGCACATGCCTGTAATACCAGCACTTTGGGATAGTGAGACCCCATCTCTACAAAAAATACAAGAATTCGCCAGGTGTGGTGGTGCACACCTGTAGTCCCAGCTACTTGGGAGGCTGAGGTGGGAGAATCGCTTGAGCCTGGGAGGTCGAGGCTGCAGTGAGCTGTGACTGCGCCACTGCACTCCAGCCTGGGTGACAGAGCGAGACTAATCATTTCATTTCATTTCATTTCGACAGAGTCTTGCTCTGTCATCCAGGCTGGTGTGCAGTGGTGTGATCTTGGCTCACTGCAACCTCCGCCTCCCAGGTTCAAGCGATTCTCCGGTCTCAGCCTCCCAAGTAGCTGAGATTACAGGTACCCGCCACCACGCCTAGTTAATTTTTGTGTTTTTGGTACAGACGGGGTTTCACCATGTTGGTCAGGCTGGTCTTGAACTCCTGACCTCGTGATATGCCCGTCTCAGCCAACCAAAGTGCTGGGATTACAGGTGTGAGCCACCGTGCCCGGCCTGTTTATTTTTAAAATTAAAAAAGAATTAAAAAATAAAGATAAGGAAACTGAGGCCCAACCCCTGCCCCCAGCCCCACAGCTAATCAGGCCCAGGGCTAGGGCAGAAGCCTGTGTTGTAGGCCTCTAGAGGGGCCCTCCTCTCCAGCCGAGCTCCTAACCCAACATGGTTCCAGGAGCTTCCTGAGTTCGAGGGGGATGTCCTTGCCATGGGCAGCCAGGCTCTGACCACTGAGGGCATCTATGAGGACGTCATCCGGGGGTGCTTGCTGCAGAGGATTGACCGAGGTGAGTCCTGCCCTGCCATGGCTCAGAGGAGTCTGGCGTCCCCTGGCTGTATGTACTGAGCCCCACCAGGGCCCCATCGACTCTCACTTCCTGTGACTACTTGCCATTTGACCTTAAGTCAGGACTTGGCCAGAGGGGGTCCAGGGTAGAGGAGCTCAGAAGGGCAGGGATGGATACTCTCTGAAGGAAGGGTCATTGGATTGGGGCAGTGAGGGATGTATAGGAGTTCTCAGGATGAGAAGAAGGAGGCAGAGTTCAAAAACTACCAATACAGGCTGCGTGTGGTGGCTCACACCTGTAATCCCAGCACTTTGGGAGGCTGAGGTAGGCAGATCACTTGAGGTCAGGAGTTTGAGACCAGCCTGCTCAATATGGTGAAACCCTGTCTCTACTAAAAATATAAAAAAATAGGCGGGCATGATGGCACACACTTGTAGTCCCAGTTGCTCGGGAGGCTAAGGCAAGAGAATCGCTTGAACCCAGGAGGTGGAGGTTGCAATGAGCCAAGATTCCGCCACTGCACTGCAGCCTGGCGACACAGCGAGACTATGTCTTTTTTTTTTTTTTTTTTTTTGAGACAGAGTCTCGCTCTGTTGCCCAGGCTGGAGTGCAGTGGAATGATCTTGGCTCACTGCAACCTCTGGTGCCTGAGTTCTGAGTTCAAGTGATTCTCCTGCCTCAGCCTCCTGAGTAGCGGGGACTACAGGCATATGCCACCACGCCCAGCTAATTTTTGTATTTTTAGTAGAGATGGGATTTCACCATGTTGATCAGGCTGGTCTCAAACTCCTGACCTTGGGATCCTCCCCCCTCGGCCTCCCAAAGTGCTGGGATTACAAGCGTGAGCCACCACGCTTGGCCGAGACTCCATCTTTTATTTTTTATTTTATTTTTGAGACGGAGTCTCACTCTGTCACCCAAGCAGGAGTGCAGTGGTGTGGTCTCGGTTCACTGCAACCTCTACCTCCTGGGTTCAAGCCATTCTCCTGCCTCAGCCTCCGAGTAGCTGGGACTACAGGTGCATGCCACCACACCTGGCTAATTTTTGTATTTTTAGCAGAGACGGGGTTTCACTATGTTGGCTGGGCTGGTCTCGAACTCCTGACCTCATGATCTGCCTGCCTCAGCCTCTCAAAGTGCTGAGATTACCAGCGTGAGAGACTCCATCTTAAAACCAACAAACTACGGATAGACATTTAAATTTATTCATTTAACAACCACTCCCTGTTTTTCTCTGGGCTGGCATTGAGGCTCTAGAGGTTTACAGAGTTGGAGTTGGCGGCCTCTTAGGAGCTCCTGAGCTGGGAAGGAGCTCCAGAAACATCTTTCTCCCTCCTGCTTCCTGAGTTCATTCATGAATTACTTAATGCCCATGATCACTGAGATGTGTGCACTGATTGGGGGGTGAACGGGATGCAGTGGGGATTCAGGGAATGTCAGCATCCATGCAGCCAGCACAAGGGCACGGAGTGGGAGGCTGGAGGCTGCTGGAAGACGTGCAGGGCCTTGAATGACAGGCAGAGGAATTTAGATTTATTGTGCAGGCAATCGGGAGCCATGGAGGGTGTGTGAGCAGAGGTCAACAGAAGCCAGACTGGAAGTGAGGGAGGAGGCTGAGGCCCTGGTTCTTGGAACAAACGACAGGCCAAAGCAGGGGCAGCAGCCAAAGGGACAGAGACTAGGAGGGAGGTAGAGGTGGGAGCTGGAGGTGTCAGAGGTGTTGGGCTTCAGGTGTCACTAAGTGAAGGTGAGGGGGCCACAAGCCAGGGAAGGTGTGTGGAGAACAGAAGGGAATCTCAAAGAGCCCTCATTTGAAGGAAAGAGGAAGAACAGACATAGAAGGTGAGGTCAGCAGCTGGGCACGGTGGCTTACGCCCGTAATCCCAGCACTTTGGGAGATCGAGGCAGGTGGATCACTGGAGGTCAGGAGTTTGAGACCAGCTTGGCCAACATGGTGAGACCCCGTCTCTACTATAAATACAAAAATTAGCTGGGTGTGGTGGCGCATGCCTGTAGTCCCAGCTACTCGGGAGGCTGAGGCAGGAGAATTGCATGAACCTGGGAGGCAGAGGTTGCAGTGAGCCAAGATCGCACCACTGCACTCCAGCCTGGGCAACAGAGCTAGACTCTGTCTCAAAAAAAAAAAGAAAAAAAAAAAATTTAAATAGGTGAGATCAGCCAGGCGCGGTGGCTCATGCCTGTAATCCCAGCACTTTGGGAGGCCAAGGTGGGCGGATTATGAGGTTAGGAGATCAAGACCATCCTGGCTAACACAGTGAAACTCCGTCTCTACTAAAAATACAAAAAATTAGCTGGGCGTGGTGGAGGGCACCTGTAGTCCCAGCTACTCGGCAGGCTGAGGCAGGAGAATGGCATGAACCCAGGAGGCGGAGCTTGCAGTGAGCTGAGATTGCGCCACTGCACTCCAACCTGCACGACATAGCGAGACTCCATCTCGAAAAAAAAAAAAAAAGATGAGGTCAGAGAGTTGGGAGACACCCCTATAGATGGTGGGTTCTTGGGAGCCAGGGAATGAGGGAGAGGATGTGTCTATGAGCATCCAAACAAGAAAAACAGAGCTTCCTTAAAATAGTAGAAGTTTTAAATAGGAAAAAGAAACCTATTTTCTGACTGCAGAATTAAATCCAGAAACAGGTGACCTCAATGAGTTTCTCTTCCTAGAGATTTTATGTGTCCTTAAGTGGGTCCATCCTGATACTGATATGTGATGTCTGCCTAGAGCAGCATGTTGGGAGGTGGGACTGGTAGTGTCCAGGCTTGGTGAAGGGTGCAGGGATCGGTTAGCAATGTCTGCCATGGGTGCAGGCTTGAAGAGAGGGTCTATGTGAGCCACCTGTTTAGGATTTCTGCTTGAGACATTCATAGTCTCTCTGGGAAAATGCACGGAATCCCCTTGATGCCTGGGATTCCCCAGGTGTGTCCAAGAGTTCATCTCATTTCAGAACTGAAAAAGACCCTTGGTGCCAATGATGTATCCTGCACTCTGGACGGCTGCTTGGAGGTCCCATGGGAAGAGGAAGGAGCAGGTGGGGAACTCCACAGGCTTCTGAAACATGCCAGTGATGGCTGGGGGTGGGGAGGTGGGGGCCCACATCGGGTGTATGGGATTGTCGTGCATGTGGGTTCATGGATGGAACAGAATATACCTCATCTCCTTAACCAGCCAGGCTGGCCAAGCTCGTGAACAAATGCAGTGGGAAGTTGTGGAGTGTGTCTGAGCTACAGAGGAACCCTCTAAACCCAGGCTGTGACATGCATGTGAGCTCAGCTCTTGGGAGCTGAGATTGTGGTGAATTTGTATCCCATCTCTCTCTCTCTCTCTTTTTTTTTGGGGGGCGGGGGACAGAGTCTAGCTCAGGCAGGAATGCATAATCTCAGCTCACTGCAACCTCCTCCTCCCAGGTTCAAGTGAATCTCCTGCCTCAGCCTCCCGAGTAGCTGGGACTACAGGCACATGCCACCATGCCTGGCTAATTTTTGTATTTTTAGTAGAGACGGGGTTTCACCATTTTGGCCAGGCTGGTCTCAAACTCCTGACCTCAGGTGATCTGACTGCCTCAGCCTCCCAAAGTGCTGGGATTACAGATGTGAGCCACCACACCCAGCTTTTGTATCCCATCTAATCCCAGGATTTAGGGGGCATCTCCCAATGGCTACTTCCTGTTGCCAACTTGGAAAGGGAGATTGTAGTGATGGGAGCCTTAGGTTTACCACCAGCAAGAGCTTGCAAGATGGGCATAATTTGGGGGACAATTTTTTTATGTAGCAATAGCTAACTAATACACTTCCTAGCTGATCTAGGACAGAGAAACTCATTGATATTTACACTAACTTGGATAAATAGTTAAACAGTCCTAGAAATACTTCTTCTTTTTTTTTTTTTTTTTTTTTTTTTTTGTGAGACAGAGTCTCACTCTGTTTCCCAGGGTGAAGTGCAGTGGCACAATCTCAGCTCACTGCAGCCTCCCCCTCGGGGGTTCCAGTGATTCTCCCACCTCAGCCTACAGAGTAGCTAGGATTACAGGCACTTGCCACCACGCCTGGGTAATTTTTGTATTTTTAGTAGAGATGGGGTTTCACCATGTTAGCCAGGCTGGGCTTGAACTCCTGACCTGAAGTGATCCACCCACCTCGGCCTCCCAAAGTGCTGGGATTACAGGCGTGAGCCACCGTGCCCAGCCCAGTCCTAGAAAGACTTCTAAGGCCAGGCACAGTGGCTCATACCCGTAATCCCAGCACTCTGGGAGGCCAAGATAGGTGGATTGCTTGAGCCTAGGAGTTTGAGACCAGCCTGGACAACATAGCAAGACCCCATCTCTACAAATATTTTAAAAATTAGTTGGGTGTGGTGGAATGCATCTGTAGTTCCAGCTACTCGGGAGGCCAAGGTGGGAGGATTGCTTGAGCCCTGGAGATGGAGGTGGCATTGAGCTATTGCGGCACCACTGCCCTCTAGCCTGGGCCACAGAGAGAGACCCTGTCTCAAAAAAACAAACAAATACAAACTTCTGAGTGTCAGAATATTTAAGGATTTGCAATTGGATGTGAGGGATTGTAGATGGGTTCCTGAATCTAACCAGAACCAACGGGCATTTGGTTTCTAGTCTTCCATACTAACAGCCAGTGCCGCAGGGGATAATCTTGTACATACTTGTTTTTGTTTTGTTTTGTTTTGTTTTGTTTTTGCAAGTGCAGGTTCCTGTGGGCAAATCCCGCAATAGGAAACCTCAGAATTTAAAGTATATGTGTTTGTCACTTCAACAGAGGGCTGTCTACCAGGGTAGCCTCACCTGGTGCCCCTCACCTTTGTCCGGGAGGTTTAGGAGCTGCTTTTAGCTCCTTTTCCGATAACCTTCCTTCCTATCCTTCACCCTTTCATCTTTTGACTGCTTGTACATTTGTTTTTCTTTCTTTTTTTCTTTTTCTTTTTTGAGACAGAGTCTCGCTCTGTCGCCAGGCTGGAGTGCAGTGGCAGCATCTTGGCTCACTGTAACCTTCACCTCGTGGGTTCAAGCGATTCTCTTGCCTCAGCCTCCCCAGTAGCTGGGATTACAGGCGTCCACCACCACTCCTGGCTAATTTTTTGTATTTTTAGTAGTTTCACCATGTTGGCCAGGCTGGTTTCAAACTCCTGACCTCAGGTGATCTGCCTGCCTCGGCTTCCCAAAGGGCTGGGATTACA